AATTTTAAAACATAGTCAAATATATAGTCTTAAAAAAAAGTGTTATCTGTTGCTTTTTTACTTGGAACAATACCGATGTTTTCTTTGCCACGTGACAAGGCTTTTTTCCAAATAGTGTCTGTGAAGTGAGTACAAGTAACTGTGGTTCATAAACTATAGTTTGTTTGCACAACATTTCTCTTGCAAAAGACTTATCAGTTATTTCATTCATGATTAATCCATAACACATGTAGTGAATGCACAGTCTTGTTTATGGTTAACTGTAGATGTTTTGAAGCAGAATTTTAATAAGAAGTAGAAGATTAATAACCCAGTGTTTTATTTAGAAGCTCTTGGACAGGATAAGAAAATGCCGCTTTTGGAGACTAGCAAATTAAAATTTATATGTTTATTAAAAAGGAGCAGTGAAATTCAAGGGCAATAAGAAGAAATGGAATCTGATCTAAAGAGAGTTGCTCAAGTACATGTAGAGAGGTCAAGCTGCATGAAAGAAAACAACTAAAGAGGAGAAATAGCAGAAATCTGGTCTGGAATCATATAAGGAAATAGTGGCTTCCACTGTCTTTTCCACCGGCTCTGCAAGGGTCAGTATTGGCTCTGAGTGGAACCGAAATGGTTGATACAAACCGGGATGAATAGTGAGCTGGTACCTTCACAGCAGAGAACATGAGGGAACCCACAATTTCTTTTTAATTCTTTGAACTAAGCTTCCAAGCTGCAAGAAGTGATGATGTGTAACCCCATCAGGTTTGTATTTTCAAAGTGCATGCCCTAATCAAAATTGGGTGCAATGTTTTTTAATGAGCTTTTTAGAAGTCCTTATTTTGCTGTATCATTAAGCCTCTTGATTTTGTATTAGGTAGGTTGGAAATACAGTATTCTTAGGCCGCTTGATCAGCCCTCTCGTTTTATCTGAAACAGGATGACTGATCATTCCCTATTTTTGTCTAATAAGAATAATGATGTCTTTCACTTCATACAGTATAAGGAAACTTACCTATGTAGGTTAGTCCTCCAAATCATGGTAAAAATATTTTCTCTTTCTTAATTGGCCTCTCTTTTAATATATTATCAAGATTTTTGTGTTGAGAACAAATTGTCTCTGAGCAGCCAAGACGACTAGATAAGAATGTAACTGTGAGAAGGCTGAAAGGAAGATAACATAAAGATATCCAAGATGATTAAAAAAAAAAGCATGAAGATAGTTACTAATTCCTGATATAATCAAGTTTGTAATCCACTTGAGGTTACCACATGACTTCTAGGGGCCAAGATTTCACCAACTATTGTTTTATTGACCAGGAATGAATTCTGTGAGTTGCAGGAGTTCTGGCTGGGGTGTGACTGAGGCTGCAGGCGCCTTCATGTGGGTGCCTTGGTTCTCCCTAAACCTGGCCAGAATTTTTACAATGGAAGTATTTGGTTGAAAATGAACCTTAATCAAAATAATCTTCTCACAAAAGTTGTCATTTGTTATGGAATTCAGGATTAGATTATTTTAGTTGAATTTTGGTATTTTTTTTGAATTGATTCTGGTCTGGTTTAACTCTGGATTTATATGTACTTATGCCTCTTGCACATATCTCTTCCAGGCTACTCTTAATTCCATATTTCCTATCTCATAAGTGAAAATTCTGGAGAGGAAAATGTTACATCCCTTTCAAATTCCCCAAGCAGAAGCATTTGAAATTTTTGCAGGATTTTCCTTTTTCAACCTCAAATTATTATTTTAACAAATTGAAGCAAAAATATTTTATTTTCATTAACATACTTTTCACATTATAAATGCTCCTAACTTCAAGCTACAGTTTTGTACTTAACCACTTCTTTCAATCATTTCTACTAGAGGAGTCTTTTTCTATTAGAAAAAATTAAAATGAATAACCAGAGATCTAAAATAGGACTAGAAAAGGTTGCATTTTATGTGAGTTCGTATAACTTAGTCTGGAACAGTAGCTGTAAAGAAATACCTGTTGGTAATAAGTTGCACTACCTGCTTGCTATGATTTATTACAGGTGTGCTTATAGAGCCATTGCTTTGCTGCTGTATGGTTTCACTGCTGAGTTGGTGAACACTAGCAGAGCTTGGCGATTAGTCCCACACGCGCTGGAAAGTGTTGCTATGCTGAGTAATTGAGATGAATGTCCGTGAGAGGGCATGCGACATAAATATTGCCAGAAGGGATGGAGGTGAAGAGTTGGTTCTGCCTGAAGTTTTTTTTTTTCTTGTACACCCGCATTAATAAAAGCCCTTGGGGATGCAGAAGTGAACGTGTCTGTGTAGTAGGATTCTGTGGGAGAAAAGAAAGAAGCATCTTCAGAGTTGCTCTTTCAGGGAAGCGTTCTCAAACTGGGACTCTGTAGCCTTTGGTAGGAGGTGGCAGTGACAACCCCATGGTGCTTGTGTTCTGGGCTTTGGTCTCTGCATGAATTTTTGTTTGGCATCGATGGCCTCAGAACCTTCTGGGAAACCAACATTTGAAGCAGAAACGTGAGCAGTTTGTGAAACTGTATATTTGCTATTTCACCTAGTAAATTATGCCAGCTTTCTTACACAATAATATATATGCTTATGAAATCATGATGACTTCCGTACAACGTATCTTTCATTGATAAATAACCTTGTTTGTTTGCTTGTTTGTTTTAACTTTTCTAAAAGGATGGTATTGTCTTTATCCACCCAAATTTCTAGGGTGGACGCAGATGCTTACACGTCTTTCTTCTGCATGGGGATGACTTATTCAAAGCCCTAGCGTATAGCAGGAGCACTTGCATTAATATCTGGTTTTGATTTTTCAAATTAGGAAGTAATAAATGAGTTGTGTATAAACCTAATGATTTTTAATTCCTAATGTGAAAGTTACAGCAGTGTCATAAAGACAAAGCTTCAATTTGTCATGAAGAGTGGGCTTCAAAGGTTTTCTTTGCTAATTCTGCTGTCTTCATACCAATATAATAGGTAGTCAGAGAGTTTCTAGCACCTTTAGTATTAATTAAATTTAATCCCCTAAAATGAAGTTGGCAATAAAACAATGAAAAGTGATATTTCAAAAGAAGATAAAACAGTTCAGTCCTGAGTAGCTGTATGAAGACGCTAAGCTGGCAAGCAGGGAACCATAAAAGTTACAGAAGTCAAAATGGGGCCTCTGTGAGTTGAAGCTGTTAGTGGAAGTAATGTTATCTTTGGGTTTATGGGTTAGCAGTAAAATTCCTCTTTGCAGAGAGCAGTACAAAGCTTATACATTATTTAAGTGTGGTATCAGTGGGGCATATTTTCATACATTTTACATTTTAGCCAACATTAAAGCCAAAAGCCATCTTAATACTTAGGACAGTCCTTATTCCTTTCTTTATGTCTGCTTCAGGTATGCTAAATGTCCTAAAATGAAGCTGGAGATACTTAAAGCAATTGGGAAGTCTGCCCCTGTGGTCAGAAGTTAAACGTAAATGACAGAAACGTCTTTAAAATGACCGCATAAAATGGTAACGTTTGCTCTGTGTTTAAAAAAAGTTGAATGTTCAAGTGCTCTTACGAAATTACTTCCTTATGAACATGTTATCACAAGGCATATGAAATCTTTGTCTTCCTTTCATCTCTGATTATGAAGCAGAATGTTTGTTGCCCTTAAAGCCACCGGCTTATTGGTATTTTGACCTTTGTAGCTCACCAGACAAAGATTTTGGAAGACACTAATTTGGATCTAATTGGAATGGAGGGAGATAAGCTCTAATTAATCTTATTTACATTTAAATATATCCTGGGATGTTCTGTCAAATTCAAAGAAAATACAGGTACGGGTTGGATAGAAATTGAATCAAAAGTTATCTTCAGGTTTTAACAAGGATCCTATTTGAAAGAGAAAAGAGACAAGCCACATCAATTTAATTGCTGTCACTTTATCCATAATTCATATCATTAAGTCAACTGGTATGTCTAATCTATAACATCATATGCTCATCTTGAATCTTTGCCAGACAAAACAGGGCAATTTTAAGACTGATAGTAGCACTTTTGCTGGTATTGGTTGAAATACGTAACACTATTTGAGTCATTAGTTTTATCTGTTGTTCCTATATTCCTCTAGTATTTTATTCTGTTTTATCTATGAGATGTCCAGTCTGGGGGTTGTCCAAGCATTAGATAGGTCTGACTTTCAGTGATGATACGTATCTTCAACTATAGTTAGAGTCAGTGTTAGCTGTAGCTGCTCCCAGTCTTTAAAACTCAAGATCTTATAGTATTGTCCTTATGTTACATATGTTACTTTCTTCATTTCTTTTATACTACTGTCAGGCATCACTGGCGAATACAATTACATAATTGTTGCATTTTGCCTCAGGGTAGATGAAGTGATGGCTCTGTATATGTAAGTTATAATAAAGTGAAACAGAATTTTGAAAAATTTGTGCTATTCTTGTTTAGAGAGAAGGTACAGAGTGCAACCTCAACCTAGCTGCTTATAATATATTCCTTCCACACTCAAACTTTTCTGTGAAACTTCTATATTTTAATGATTTGGGACTCTAGAATTTTTTTCATGTCACTGTTGCTTTGAGAATTCAAACTCAGTCTGATATCAGTGCATTCAACTTCACTTGAAGTCAGCAGAGTTCAGAATTTGACCATAGTCTTTGATGTTATGAGGAGGGAAATCATTTGAAAGTGTGCTGGATGGTTTATATGGGGCCTTTGGTTTGCTGTTTCTGTAATGAAGTCCTACATTGCATGGTATAGTATGTTCTTGTTAAGAGCGTGCGATGCCTTCCAAAAAGGCTTAACGGTGAGAGATTCTGCATTGCCTGACAGTCGTGATAAAATGAGTTCAGCTGTTTCTTGAGAGCTGCCTAGTGTTGTGCTAAAATCACTATTCTGTAGATCTTATTTAGAGTTTAAATGTGGCGTCGTTTGTTTTGCAGTATTATTTAACGGATTCTTGTGAAATCGTTGTTAGCACTGTATACAGTGTGGGTAATGCTGTTGTTGTTTATAATCTTTTTAGGTTGTGCTGGTGAGATGGAATGAACCATTTCAGAAACTAGCAACCTGTGATGCAGATGGAGGAATATTTGTTTGGATACAATATGAAGGCAGATGGTCTGTGGAGCTTGTGAATGATCGTGGAGCACAGGTTGGTATGAATATTTCTTCTTAGTCAAGAACGATCAAGTCCTGAGAGGCATAAAATGACAAGGAAGGTGAATGGTTCTGTATGCATTTAGGAAAGCAGAGAAGAAAACAAAACATTTCTTTATTGAAAGGAGTAGGCAAGAAGTGTCACAAAGATAATTTACAAGGACAGATACTTTATCCAACTGGTTTTGACTTTCACAAATGCATATTAAAATTCTGCGTTAGGCAAAAAAACCTTCTGTGGTATTGAAGTCTTTTGCCTTGTTTTTAAATATTAAGTGAGAGTAAATCATCCATTGTTGTTTTTGCAAAACTACACTATTTTTTTCAATTATATCAATTCAGCATTCCAGTGACTGTTTTTTTGGAAATGTGCTGTTTTTCAGTGTATAAGGGTACAAAGAAATTTCTGAATCCTCTTCTAACTCCCATCCATTTGTGTACAAAATGCCTTTTTAAAGAAAGTGTCATCGTGTCTTGCATTGACAGTATGTTAGCTTTTATTGTTGAGGGGGGGAAAAAAAAAGCCCTGTGATTAAACTGTGGATAATGATAACTGCCAGCAGTTCTATCTGGTTCTGTACAATACTGCCTTAAAACAATAAAAACTACTACATGGCCGTAATATCTATTTTCTTATCTTTAAAATGTTAAGGTAAGCGACTTTACATGGAGCCATGATGGGACTCAAGCACTTATCTCCTATAGAGACGGATTTGTGCTGGTCGGTTCAGTCAGCGGACAAAGGCACTGGTCTTCAGAAATAAACTTGGAGAGTCAGATCACCTGTGGTATATGGACTCCAGATGACCAACAGGTAATGGGGCTTTTAGAGGCTGTAAATTATATCATGTTGATATGCTATGGAATATACGTCTTTAAAAGTTGTTAAATAAGTTGTTTGTAGGAATAGTTTCCCCTCAAAACCAACGTTCGTGCAGATAATGAAAATTTAATTCGTCATCATTAGGCAAATACGCTAATATACCAAGTTACCTATCATCACTTTTCACTCCAATTCCCATGCAGTCTTATTTCAAAGTTAGTTTGAGACAGGAATCTGGAATTATTCCCCTAATTTGTTGATGCAGCTATCTTGAAAATATGCAGGTGAGCAGAGATACAGCATTGCCTAGTAAATATCTGACTGGTCATTTCACTGTACAGCTGCCCAATTTGCACTTACAGCAAAGGCAGTCCAATTCACAGATACAGTTATGTTTGCCATCACATAAGCAAGTGGATTGAATTGATTTTGAGCGTCAGAGACACCTTTAAGGTCTCTCTTAGCCTTATGCAAACAAAATAATTTTGAAAAGGTGATTTTTCAAAGCACTGAATTCAAAACTTGCTGAGCTTTGAAAAAGCCAGTTATAAAATTCTTCTTTACTGCTTTTCTAGTGAGGCATATGATGTTGGACATGTCACCGTTTCTAGTGGGGCTTGAGCTAGCGCATTGGTTTTCATTTGCAGAATTTACAGTGGCCCTTTGCCATTCAACTGTTGAACTTACTTGAGCGATCTTTTCTTCCATGTGCTTCCTGTCCTTATAGTTACTGTGTTCGTAATACAGTACTGAAGGAAATGATAGTGGTAGACTAGTGCAAAGAGAAATTGTATTATTTTCAAAATTAGATTATTTTCCTGCCTTCACTTTGCACCTTCATAAAAAGGTACTGATCTAAGACTCAAGGTATCATTGTCTTTAATTTGGAATACTGTAAATCCGTACAAGATATATGCAGAGTTATTTTGGGAATTGCTAGTGGAGTATAATAGCACTGGTAATGTGCATTTCTACAGCAGCATCTAATAATTTTTAGAGTGCTCCGGAAAGAATAATGAATTAATTATTACAACACTGCTCTTTCAAGCCAGAGTGCCTAACTGCCTCTTTCTGAATCTGAGGAAGCTTAAGTCTTAACAATAAATAATTTACTCAAGATCAAGAGGAAAAGACAAGCAGCAGAAGTAGGAAGGGAAACCAAGATCTAATAGCTCTCACTCCTATGTTTTAAACATGAGGCTATTCCCTTTGTATGATTTGTGCTTGTAGTTCACTGCTGTATTTGGAAATATCTTCACTTGAGTGTTTAATTTGGGAGGACTGACTTCCTTTAATTCAAATTAGCCAGTATGTTTGTACTTTCTAATCTGGATGCTTCGTAAGTGTTTACTCCAGAAAACGAACATTTGTTCAGTGTCCAGATAAGCACTTCTAAACATAATGGCCAATTCCATTTGGGTGAAAATCACTTGCTTGAGTTAAGAGATTCTGCTGCTAACAAACTCACTGAAATAGAGACCAAAACCAGGCATGGACATGATGTTGCTCTGCACAACTCTCTACACTACGGGTTTTGCATGTTTAGCTGGTGACGAACCTTACTGTTCTCCAGAGTTGGTGGAGAGACGAGATCTTCTCATACATATTTAAATGTTTCTGCCTTTGAAGGCACAAGGCAAGAGACTACGCTCACAGTTCATACTAAAAAAATAAATAAAAATTTGGGGGAAAAAGGACGGCATATATTACACACAGGCACATGCAGAAATGCATGCTCTCACTAGCTTACATCCTTATCTAATTTTTCTGCTGTCGGTAGTTAGCCAGATTTGTATCTGTACAAATGAGATCAGACTACTCTAAAGTAGCTTCAGCATCTTGCCTATCACGTAATGTAATCTGCTTGTCAGTTCAGAGAGTGAAAGATAAATGTCAAAATTTAAATTTATATTTTCATAATATTCTTTGTCACCCTTCTGACAACACAAAAATTGCTTCTGAAAGTATTCCTGAAAAACATTACGTTCCATGTTGCCATGACCTTTAACAGAATTAGCTTTGAAAGTTAAATTTCCAATGAGAATTTATTGTTCAGTATCAGTTTTCTATTGTCCTCATAAAAAATTGTTTGATGTAGTCTGTCTAAAATACCAGCATAGATATTAGTTTGGGAATTCTGTTTCATTTTTTGGGAGAGATGATGGGAAATTCAGTCCTAGTTCTTTTGTAAATGGGAGGTTTCCACATGCATTACTTCTGCTCACCTCAGTTTCTAGTTTTCTTAACTTTTGCCACTCAGTCCTCTCCTATGTTCATCCTCATCTTTTCTTCCAGTTCTCATTTTCCATCTTTTCTCCCATGTGTCCAACCAGTAGTCTTATCGCTTACGCCATAGCTCCTTGCTGCTGCTCTCTAGCAGCCCCTGCAAGAGGAGGAGAATGTCCTGCTACCATCTTTCCTTTGGAGGAAAAGAATGAGCTACAGTTTTACTAACCATCTTGTTTTGTCATATAGTTAAGCTGTCAGTATTTAGGTCAAATGCTGCAAATAGAGAGTCTAACTCTTAACTGTGTTTGTGGTTGTGGCAGGGTGTGTGTGGCTGCTGGATTTGTCTTGCTGCTATGCTCCAGTATCAGTTTGCAGGTGAAACATCCAAGGAAGTGGCTGATGCCATCTGTGATTGAAACTCCGTAATTAATACTTGCCAAATTCTTTTGAGAACTTAGAGACAGGATGATAGTTGGAGAGATGGCCTGGGTTGAGTATTGGCCTGTTGAAGTTGAACATATGGTTTTATGTTTCAAATAACTTGGAATGTAATTTGCCTTGCGGGAGTCATTGATTTATTAGTAGTAGGTATAGTTGTTCTGCATCTTCTTTTAGGAAGGGAATGATATGACTCACAATTTGTGGCTCTGATGATTTTTCATGATATCTTGAGTTCTGCCTTGTATGTTGGGTACAAACCTACTATGAGTCATAGGCAGTTAATATGATCTGATTTGCTGCAACGCTTTATTTCTCAGCATCATATGTCACGAGATGATTTTACCAGTGAAGGACACTGACAGATTTTTTTTTTTTTGAGGACCTGGTTCCTCAGGATTATGCAGGTTTTTTTTCTGGTGAGAAGAATTACCTGGGACCACGTAGGGATGAAAAGTGAATTTGAAATGCTAAGTTTTACAGGAGAATCCTGTACCCTGTCTTGAGACAGTTCCACAGGACTATCAGGTTCTTACCCTGCTTGTTTGCAAAGAGGGAGTGTACATACCAAGTAGATTGAATGAATTCCCAAATGGGAAAAACCTGAATTTTGTCTGGCGTAATGGTTTATTTATAATTATAGAAGCAAAGTCAATAAATAATTGAAGCGCTCTCCTAAGCCAGCAAGTCATATAAAATATTTTTCCACTGCTTCACCTTCCTTCCTGTGTGTTTGGTCAGCTCCTAGTGATATCTTTCTATCGGCTTCTGCCCTCCTCAGGCATCCTCTGCCTTTCCCTCACCTTCTGCCTCGCTCTCTGCCCCTGCTGCTCCCTGTTGGAGGATTGTGAAAAGCTTCCATTTCTTAATTTGTTATGTTTTTACCTAATAAAGAGGTTTATCCCTATTCATGGCAGAAGAAAGACACTGTCAGAGAACTGGATAAGAACTGTAGAGGGGTCTGATTATCCTCTTGCTGATGGTGATATGGTGTAATGCCCTGGGCTGCGCTGGGGTTGTTTCTGCTCACTGCTTCTGTGTGTGAGAAGGGAATCAGAAGGAAGTCACTCTCCAAGAGAGGAAAGCCTTGGTGAAAATGAATAAATACATTGGAATTCCTCAAAGAGGCCATGTTCTGTTGTTGTAGCTAATATCCCAAGAGGTGCTATTATTCTGCATTTGTTTCCTACCTCTTAGCTAGTGGAAATTGTTAGACTTTTCTGGTGGTTGTATGATCCTATTTCTATTTTTCCCTCCTCTTTTCCCGTTTTGAGCTTTTTATTTGTGGAAATTGAGGGACTTTTCAGGATTCTCTTTGACCTGGATATGACAGATAAGGGGTATGTGTGAACTTTACCAGTGTGCTCTCTTCTGTTTCCTTTGAAAATGAGTATACAAGCAGTTACCGAATTTAATTTGCATCCTGCCAGGTACAATATTAAAGGTAACAATGTCATATATAGTTCCATCACAATATAATGTGCATTAGTATAAAGAATGTGTAAATATAGGGCCCTATTTTGGAGCTGTTCTCTTTGTCTAATCATATAAATTTTGCTCACAGTGGTGTAGAGAGCAAGCACAGCATTAGGTACAGATATTGCGTGCACTGCAAGGTCTTTAGAGACATAGGAAGAAAAGAGGTGAAAGGACATTTTGGTTAACCTATGAGACCAAGAGTGCTTACTGACAATTTGCAAGCAAATGAAAATGATTTTTCTCAAAATATAGGATGCAGAAGGCCTATATTTTTGCAATTTTTTTTTTATCCTTTGTAGTTTGCAATAGCTGTGGAAGAAGACAGTTTCTACATTGTTAGTCACTCCTGCTCCCAGAGCTTGCCATCCCTTCTCCCATAGCAACCACAGAAGCTTCAACATGTTTTTTCATGACAGCCGTGAGACAGAGGCAGGCTTCAGTTCCTAAATTCAGTCTTAAATATCCTGAATTTCAAAATGGAATCCTGGACCCAGAAAGGAGAGGAAAATGCTGCTTTCTAGTTCCTGTGATGCCACCAGACCAGGTGGGATCTGTATACTGATACAGCATTAGTGTCTTACACGTCTGTATTAGGATTGATGCCGTGTTGTACCAAGTCACTGCAATGAAACAGAACCTATGGCACAATTCGTACTTCAGAGGCCTTGCAAGTCAAATCAACAGCTCCGTTCCCACCATTAGTCCTGTCTAACATGCTCTTGTCATTACCTTCTGTTTTACTGCTGATCGTTTTCATGCTCTCTGTATTTATCTCCTCTCCCCCAGCTAAGGCAAATCTGTTCCCCAAGGTAGTGTATCTTGACTAAATGATTGAACTTGCCATT